TACCAGAAACTTCAAAATAAATTCTCACCCTGTACTGAATCTTGTTTCAGGGTCTTATCACCAGCATTACCGCCACCAGCTGGTAAGGCGAGTGGCGTCAATTTTTGAACTCTGAACCTGCCCACTAGAGCCGTTACACTGGAGTGTACTGGAAAACCAGCTGTACCGTGCTGTACCATGCTGAACAGAGTTGAGCCAAGTCGGATCGTGCTGTAGTGGCACTAGTGGAGCAGAGGCATTAGATCCTTATATACTGTTTCTTTTTATACGTTATAATTTTGCTATTTTTAGGTGTAACTGGGACCCCGAGTACATAATTTCATTCCACCTCATGTACCACATGTGTTGCAAATGACAATAAACTTGACTTGAACTTGTGTCTGTTATGCTGACACTAAAAACACCCTAAACATGAAAGAAAGTAAGGAGCATTTTGCATAAAGCCTGAACACTGGGTGTGAAATGTAAACACGACACGAATAAGAGGATGCCCACATCGATCAGAGGTGGGGCTCAATGTTTCCAAAAGCTGGTATTTTATCTGTTAACATGAGGATGTGTAGTTTAAAAAATATTGTTTTGCAGCTCCTTCAACACTGTGTGGATGCAAAACTGAAATGATATAACAATTTTCTGAGCAGTCACAAAAACTGTTCACGCAAAGAATGACCCCCAATTCTAAACATGGCTCATAAAAGCCGGCAGAGAACGACATGTCTACAACCACACGACTTTCTTTTTTATAAAGAGTTTTCAGGGTGTGTCTTGCGTGTGTGTGTTTTCAACACAAACCTGACAAAATGCTTTTTCTATAAAACCCCACTTCACAACATTTTAACTATTGCTATAAGGGGAATTTTCATTCATTTTTATTTACTGTGCAAAACTGTGTTGAGCGTTTGGTTTTCTGAAACCATCTAACATTTGTTTTATTGGTTTTAACCAGAAAACAAGATTTATTGCATCACAAATTTTCTGAGATCCAGTACTAATGTGTTTGCAATTTAAAAGAATAATGTGCAGAAAACTATGGTAGAAAACCCTCCAAAGCATCATTTGATGAATGCGTGTAATCCCTGTTTACACAATGGTAACAACTGCAGAAACAGTGCACTATTGTTTGCCTTAACACTAATAAGCTTTCAAACCAACACACACACACACAAAAACACACAAAGACACCCGCAACTATTTTCTTGTGCAGATATATGGAAATGCTTCATGTGCATGTTGACTCTTTTAATAACATGGCTAAACCAAACAGCTCATGTGAACAATACTTTGTTTCCCTGGCAGGAACCTAAATACTCATGCACAGGCAGAACTTTAAGTACTCTGCTCAAATAAAAAACAGGAAACAATCCAACCACAGATCAAAGCATTGTTAACAATGGTTAACATTGTTAACACTGGTGTACCACAAGGCTCAGTCTTAGGACCCACCCTCTTCATAATCTACATAAGTAATGTAGGTCAGCTCATTTGTGATGCATCCATACATTTCTATGCTGACGACACAGTAGTTTATTGTCGAGCTAAAACAGTTGCTAAGGTTTTCCAGCTTTTACAGTCTGCTTTCAACATCATCCAGTCAGATTTGCTCCATCTCAAATTTGAGCTAAATGCTGACAAAACCAAAGGGATGTTGCTTAAAACAGGAAGTCCGTACCTGCAATCCTTCCTTCTATTTTATCTTCGAATGGTGTCCTTATTGAGTTTGTTGATTCTTATAAATACTTGGGTATCTTGGTTGATTCGCATCTCTCTTTTAAGCCCCATGTCGAAAACTTGGTAAAGAAACTGAAAGTAAAACTGGGTTTCTTTTTCAGAAATAGATCCTGTCTAACTCTGAATGCTAGGAAACGAACTGCTACATTCCTTCCCTCCATTGACTACGGTGACATTACTTGCATGAATGCTCCTGCAAGCACCTTGCAGATGTTGGATGCTGTCTATCACGGTGCACTACGATTCATAACTGGCTGTGACTGTCGTACCATCACTGCACCCTGTAATCAATAAGACTAACCTGTATAAGTGAAGGTTGAATGAAAGAATAAAAGCAGAACCACAGGCAAAAGATGTGATCTAAAGAAAGTAAGATAGCCTCTGTTTATTTTATTGAAAAACTTTTCTCGTTTCTTCTTCATTTAGAATGCGATCATATACAAGGTGATCTCTTTCCATCTGTCACTGTGTTTGCTCTTCTCCACCACACATCATCACATACATATAGAACTGCATCACACACACACAAATAATCACCTCCACACCCATCACTGCATATGTTACGAGAAGTGGGACCACTAGACCACACATTCATCAATTCTCTTTTTCAAGTATTTGTTCCTGCTTGATGTCGCTGATCCAGAGAGTTGTTCAGAAGCGCAGACACTTTCCTCCCACACAAACGGCTGGGGACTGTGTTAACACCATCGCACAAAACATCACAACTCCGCCTGTGGCTGTTACTATGGAGACCTGTTGTTGCGCTGGGGACACTACAGGGTGGGGCACACAGTGACGGAGCATACACACTCTTCATACCTGTCCATAAATCTAATGCTGAGGAAAACATTTGCTCAAACCTAAGTTAAAACTATTATTAAAACAATTTAATCAGGAGCAGAATGAAAACATCCACAGCACAGTTTGCCTACAACACTTTTAATTACACTATTGTGATTTGAAAAGACTCGGTCACAAGCAGATCTTTAGATTTGAACAAATGATAGAGACGTGATTTTTTTTGTCATGCCACCTTTAAATACACACAAAAATATATATTTTTGTAATTTTAAGACAATTTTCAGGCAAAATATTACTTTCATATGTTTTTTTTTACACTTATTATTTATTCAACATGTATAATAAGATAATATAAGGAATTTAAAAGATGATGAAGATCTTGGGAATTATGTTTTGTCAAAATAACTATTTAGTTACCTCGTTTAATTGAAAACTGACCCCCAACATTTCAAGAGGCTGTTACGTCAGATATAAAGCGCCTAATCTCGATTATTTTTTTTGCTGCTGTTTAAATCATAATTCGTTTACGTGATAAGTCATCAAGTTTGATTCATGTTTCCAAGCTGCTTTAATTAATCTTCGATCTACAGATGAACCAAACAGGAAGTGGCAGGAAGTGAGTATGAACTTTCAGACGAGTCGACCGCACTCTGGTTCAGGAGTGATCCATTCTCTCAAGTTAAAAAACTCAAAATGTAGCCTCATGTGGCAGGAAATCATTTTATTTCAGATATTGTTATTGGGCTTGCTTGAAGCCAAATGTGCCACTTAAAAAATATAGATTAGTTGTGTCCCTCTGTTGGCAATTGGCCATGTACTAAGGATATATATATATATATATTTTAATTTACAAGTTCTTCAGTGTTGTGCATAAGCTCACCAGGCCATTAAAAAGCTCTCATTGGTCAATTTCTTCAGCAGAGCTTCAGGCTGTGAAATAGTGAAAGTGTATTTTCCAACAGTGGTAATTGTTATCAACACCTTTTACCAAATCACCAATTTAAAATGGTTACAAGTCTATTTCTCCATGGTAAAACCACCTTCATTTTGCTTATTAAACAGTATATTTACTAATATTTGCACTTTGCACCTCTCCATAGTCACAGACTGTAGATAGCCCAGAAATATTCTAAGTTTATTATATCACTTCTACAATGACATTTTCCATCTATTTTGTTTATAAAATAGAATAAAAGAAAAAAGGAAGAAGGAGGGAGCGGCTAAGTTTAGAAGTTCTTTTAAATTATAATTAAAAGAAAACTAGTTAATCTGCCTCTGTCAAAGTGAAACTCTAACACGAATAACATTTGTGTTTTTTGGGGGTCACCAAAATGTTCCTCAGTTTCCCATGTTGTTTTCTCTCTTATTAGCCCTCAGTAATGGAAGATCTCACTTATTAAATCACTGCTAAAAACATTGCATGACTGTGAACCATGCATGTGCAGGCCTACTCTGCACCAGCTCATATAAATAACAGAGAAGAAATAAAAGATTAAACGGTATATTCCAACTCATAATCTCCATAAGTCTGTTTGGAAAATGTATCTGCAGGAACAAAACAAATGAGCTCAACACTTTAGGCCTTCAGAAGTAATAAGGTCCTTCCAAAATTTTAACAAGGCAACAACAAACGCACCTATTTGGATTTATTTGTGCGTCTGCTCTGAGCGCTTCTTACCCAAGACACTATGCGGAGAATGGTCTGAGGCTGCTGGAGGAAGGTGACGGGGTCGAAGGCTCCTCCGGCTTTCCCCGCTCCGTACGCCTGCATCCCCTCCATTGTCCTCCTCCTCTCTGGACCTCCTCTCTCCTTCCCCACTGCTGCTTCAAAGGCACAGGGTGTGAGCACCGGACACACGCGCACACATAAATAAAAATAAAAATAAATACAAATTAATATAAATAAATAAATCCCCGGGTTCTGCTCCAGCCGCTGAGAACCGCTGCCACCTCACCGATGGGTGCGCGCTTGAACCCCTCCTCTCCTCCACCCCCCCAACAACACACACGCGAACACGCGCAAGCTGCCTGACTGACGCACCGCCTCCCCCTCCGTAGGTCCCCGTCGTGGCTCAAATGTCAGGATGGTGGTGTGCGCTAATGTTTTGATGTTGTTTGTGGGGTATGGGATGGGCGCACGCGCCCGTGTTCACGGAATTGTAAAGAAGGAGTCACGCGCTTTTAAGTTGACCTTTTTGCAGGGATACTGTTGAAACAAGCAGAGCTTTGTATCATGAAAATGAAAGCAATAAAGAAATAAAAGAGAGCAACTTCTGTCGAATAATTAAAACTGCAACGTTTAATAAACGCGTACGAGTCAATTCGGTTAATTATGACGCATGTGATGGGATATATACAACGCCCTCTAGTGGTGAAATTAAGTCCCTCCATACCCACACGCAACAAAAAAAAAAATCTAAACAAGCTGTCGGGCTCAGCACTTAATCCTGAGTTGAGATAGTACTTCTTAAAAAGTCCAAACCTAATAAAAATATAGCATACTACATTTTTTTTCAACTTGATTTAATGTATGCACAAACAGACAGACTTCCTCCTGGGGACAACGTCACGTGATCCGCAAACAGCCAATGAGAAGATACGTCAGTCAGTTACGTCCCAATGGACCAATGCGGCAGCACGGTGAAAGGTTGCTAGGAGACGACTTGTGTTCGTGTTGCTGCGTAGCGGTGGCTAAAAACAGAATCAATGAGGTCTAATGAATAAAACCTGAGATTTTACTCACGGCGTCACTAAGCTCTGCGTAATGGTGAAGTTGAGGGCAAGATGTCTTCTTGTCGGTAAGGTTTTGTAAGTGTAGGTTTTTCTGCTACGTTTTGTTTTCTTAACGAACCAGACGCTAAGCTAATCGGCTAAAGCCCTGTTCATGCACTTTATTCCTAAATGATCAATGCAGTCCTTAATTCTGTTTTATCTGTTTTCCCCGTGTGTGCAGGAGATGCTGCAGTGGGCAAAAGTTCTCTTTCTCATATATTCTACAGTGATGGTACCCTCTTCCAGAAGAACTATAGCATGGTGAGAGCATTTATGTTATGTTGTTTATTTGTCATTATGCAGGTTAACAGGATGAGAAGAACCGATTCGACTCGCTGTAAACAAACAAAATAAAAATATATATAAAAAAAACAAATAAGAAATACTAAAACATGCAATAAGGGTAAAAAAAATAACGTACCAAAAAGTGACAAAGAAATATAATGTTTAAATATCCAAAAGAAATACTGTATAGTAAACAACAACATGGTAGAATATAATGGTGCAAGTAGGATGAATTTGTATGAATGTGGTGGTAATATAAGCTTAAAGGTTGTGTGGCAGGTTATTGCACAGGTAGTAACATTGAGATTAACTGAATTATGATGGTAAGGTAGTGATTTATCCCATTTACACCGTTTACACCAGGGGTGTGAAACTCACTTACATAAGGGGGCCAAAATTAAAACCTTTTTCAAACCAAGGACCAGTTTCAGAATCTACATTAATTCAAGATAGATACCCAACATCTTTCCTTGGTTGCAGGTTCTTCAAAAAGAGTTTTACTGGTCTCATTTGAAATTTGCTGTTACACTTTTGACATCATAATCAAAGATTCCTGCAAAAATTTGAGTGTAAAAAGTATTTTATGTTTAACATATCATCTTGGGGGTCAGATAAGATGTCAGTGAGGGTCACATTTGGCTCCCGGGCCTTGAGTTTGACATATGTGGTTTACACCGTTGTCAGTCCAATGCTGATAGTGTAATACCAGTGCCTAATCCTGAGCTAAAGACTTGCAGATCCAAATATGTTTGATGTTAACATGGTAGCACGTACCAAAATACCATAATGTGTTTATTTCAAATTAAACAATTAAAACAGTGCAGCATATTGCTACTACCATGTGCTGCAATCCAAAGTAAAGTATTGGTTTATGGTACACTTATTTGTAGTTTCAAATAATAAAGAAGCATTAGTCACTGAATGATGGACTACATTTAATTTTTTTCAGAGACCTACCAAGAACTTACTTTATGTGCTTGAACTTACAGAAATGTAAAACAGCCTTATGTGGCAATGAGTGCTAATACGGAGGTGGCCTATCTGCATTATTTATGCTTATCTTCATGAGGGACTGAACAGCTAGCGTTTCAAACGTTTCAGAATAAATACAAACACTGCAAATAAAGGTGACTAAATTATGATTACACTTGAGTGTGGCTTGCACACCTTCATTTCCGTAAAACTAATTGTTTGCTCAGTTTATCTGTAAGCCTTTACGGTCAATAAAGTACTGAACAGGTTGGTGAAAAATACTGGACGAAAGCCAAGTGTGTGTGTGTGTGTGTGTTGTTCTGGTCTTGCTGCTTCAGCAGTATAGGGGTTCTGAGGTGACGGGAATGTCGATAATTAATACAGCAGGATTCTGGAAAGCCAGTTGAACAGGTACTTAACAAGCAAACACGCATAGTGCAACTACGGTGCAGTTTTTCAATATTACACCCACTTGTTTGTGATTCTTTAATTGTGTAAAAGTGTTTATGCAAAACTTAAAAAGTGGGAAATTAAAAAAAAAAAGTAATATGTAAAGGTCGGAAAATTTGTGTGCCAGTGAGTCAGTGCAGTGAAGACTGCTGTATAAGGTTGAAGCACACAAAGAAACCCTTGTAATAGTAATGATCTTTAACACATAAAATATTAAAACATAACTGGACTGACAATTAAAACTTCTGAACAGATGCAATTTCATCCACATTTATAGATAAAGTATTACACAACACTAATGTGACAGTCTGATTACCACCTAAAAAAGATGTTTAAACAGTGTTTAGATAATGTTAGATGTTTATACTTACATTTGTGTGGTATTAAAATTTCACACCTTTTATTAGGTAAACCTATTAGTAACAAAAAAACGTATTAATGACTATAATATAGAAGTTCCTTAACTTAAATTAGCCTCAGAAACATAATCAGTAGCTGTAAAAAATGACCTGGACATTCATATTTTCCTGTAAAAAATATTTTTACATAGACCTAAATATTAAATTTTATGAACAGTTGTCATTACTGGTAATTATGTGTAAATAATGGAAAGCATCAAGCATCATGCATTGGCAAAGTGATTTCAGTGAACATAAATTAAGCAGCATACAGATGTATGTCACTGAACCAGGAGTGGTGTACCAGGAGGTACTTTTATCATCTCTATTTTACAGTAAACGATTTAAAACAGCTGCGCACGTCCTCCTTTGAAAATGTCAGATGGGCTGGTAGCAATATTTTGAGCTTATTTATTGCTAATGGGCCCTCATTGACATTCCAGAGAGAAGCTTCCAATGCATCACACCGGCTCATTAGATCACACTCTAGTAGAAATGCAGCATGTTCTGTATGTATGTATGTGTATGTGTGTGTGTGTGTGTGTGTGTGTGTGTGTGTGTGTGTGTGTGTGT